CGGCCAGGGCACAGGTGTAATTTTAAATGTCCCAGGAGCCACATTAAAAAAAAAAAGTGAAAAAGGAACGGGTGTCATGAATTTCAGTTGCATTTTTTAACCCTTTGTTGCCAGAATAGTATCGTCGCAACATGTCATCAACAGAAACATTATTTGAGATGCTCACTTTATTTTGTTCATGCCGAGCCCTTGGAGTTGTCCAGCCTGTGTTTGACACGTGGCCCCTCTCAGCTCGGCCTACCACGCACCCCCACGGGCTCAGGAGCCGCACGTGGCAAGTGGCTGCTGTCCTGGGCAGGGCAGGCTGACATCACACTGTTCCCCAAGTTCTTTTGTTGGTTGATTTTGAGAGAGAAAAACATCGATTTGTTGTTCCATGTATGGATGCGTTCATTGCTCGCTTCTTGTCTGTGCCCTGACTGGGGATCGAACCCACACCCTTGGCGGATGGGGATGGCACGCTAACCACTGCACTACCCAGCCAGGGTCTGAAGTTCTTAGAGCATGGCCGTGCCCACACGTGTGACCTTCGTTGTCTTCTTCCCCTTCAGGAGACCTGTGCTAGGATCCTCCTCTATCGCGGGGCCAGCAAGGACGTGAAGAATAACAACGGACAGACCGCCTTCCAGGTCCGGGGCTGTGGGATCCGGTGTTGGGGGCCGGGGGTGGGGGGGCGCGGTGTGAAGAACTCAGAGGGGTCAGGAAAGTGGGGTCATGAGGCCAGCTGGGAGAGAGGGAGGGCAGTTTCTGGGGTGAAGGTCTGGTGGGGGGGACGGGCAGAGGGAGCAGCCAGACGGGGACCTGACTGCTTCCTGCCCCCCCTCCCTGTGCCTGGGCCACCCCACCTCTCTGTGCCCCCCTCCAGGTGGCAGTGATTGCCGGGAATTTTGAACTGGGGGAGCTGATTCGAAACCATCGAGAGCAGGACGTGGGTGAGTGGGTGGGGCTGGGCCCAGGGGAGAGCCGGGGGTACCTGGGGGTGCGTGGTAGGGTCTAGGGTCGGGGAGTCAGAGGACATGGTTCGGGGGCCAGGATGGGATTGAGGACCTCGAATGTCGAAATGGTGGTAGGGGGCGCGATTCGAGGTTCCCCCACTCTTTCTCATCTCGATCTTTCTCCCCTGGTGCCTCTCTCACCGTCTCTCACCTGCCTGTCCCCCACCGCCTGCCTCTGTCTCCCCTCCCCTCTGCCCCCACCACCGTGCCCTCTCAGTGCCCT